CCTTCACGGTGTACTAAAGGAGATGTCTCCCAGTGACCTGTCCACCTTCCTGGAACACACGTGGTCACATGTGGCCTAAGTGCGTGGGCTTACACTCACCCTCCCTACTCTACAGATACAGAGAGATGATGTTCCTTGCATCCTTGCCCAAATGAACTCTATGGGGGTTAACCTGATAAAAAACTTTAGAAAATTGATACATGTTCCACAAAATTTCGCTGGTGAATCGTTAATGAGATTTCAATCATTTTCAGGGAATTCATCCTTTACCCCTCCAGGATACATTTCCTCATGGACCAAGGATATTGGAAGAATCTATGCCCAACCCCAGAAGTATGAACAGTAACAATTCTTACGAAAAAATGTTGAAGGTAGAGCCATCCAAAAAGGTACATAAAAATGGAAACCACTCTACAAATGAAGTAACAGAAAGATTCGCAGGCAGGAGGAAGAGATCAGTTGTATTATCAGATAGGAAGGCAAGGAGCACTGATGTTGGAGTCAGTAGCCTCTATGAAGTTATTTCCGAAGCTGACCTGGCTTTCAGTCCGGATAATCGAGCCGAAGCTGTTACGATTTTCAGAGGACGTATTAGAGAAGAAGTCGTGTACGGAATTTGCATGCCGGTTCCCGGATTTAGTCTGTTAAAGTTGTAGATCTCAAAATTCTCTTCAAAAAAGGTCCTTATGATTTTTTCTGTAAGTATCACCGTTCCTGAGAAATCGCAATTGTAAAAGTCACGTTCTATGTAATATGCACACGTTTCCACGCCATCTGTGAGGTAGTGTACTCGGCGCGTTTTTTAACGTGGTTTTCCCAGTAGGCCTATTCCACGAATCGTTATTACGTAATTTTCAGTCACAATAATTATTTAACTGCATGCAGATTATTCGGGTTGATAATGGTTATGGAGTGTGATTGTCGGTGTGATTTCTTTTGATACTTCAATCTGATTCATACTCGTCACAGTTACCTTCAACAATCATGTCTTCTGCGATTTCTTCTTCGTCTTCTTCCTCTTCTTGCCGGATGTTCATAAATTGTTCAAATAATGATGTATCAGTTGTTTCTTCATCAGTATCACATGAAATTATCCTCTGTTCATCTAAAGTAAACTGGTAGTCGTTACTATTTTCCAAAAGTTTATAAATTTCCTCCATCGCAGAGTTTACAGCCTCACTTTGTGGACGCCCAATTTTACCGCCAGTATTAGGTCTTAGAAAAGACTTGTAACAACTATCATGGTATTTAGCATCAGCAGCTACTAATTAATATTCAAAATTGATAAGATCAACGACAGCTTTTGATAAGTCATCAGAACGATCTTTTGCTAATTTCAAAATAGATTCTTTAAATTTGAGTGTAGAAACTTGCCTGCTCATCTGCTTCATCGCCACAAAATTAGCAGTTTTCTTTAAAACTAAAGCTGGATTCACTTACTCGTGCTCTAGGAGGAGGTGGACTTACTTTTGAAGTACTGGCCTGTTCATCTTCACGTTAACGTATTCTAAAAACACTTCATTGTAAGATTTTCACTTGATACTTTTACAAAAACGCAACACGTGTTTCGCCATACAATGGCTTCCTCGGGCGTGTCCTCAGTAAAACTATCTGGTGAAAATCTCACAATAAAGTGTTTTTAGAATACGTTAGTTATGGATTTTCATCAAGTATCTGCCGATTCCATCTTACATCTTCACGTTGTCTTTTTGCTGCGGCAATTGAAGTTTTCCGGGTGTATGATTTTCGGCAATCCACGTGGATTGTAACGGACTTAAGACCTCTTAAATCTTCAGTAAACTCATCACTTCTCGCATCATTTGCGTCGATTAAAGTTTGCATTCCACGATTGACCACAACAGTTTCACCTTCAGTCAAAAGCTTAGAGCAAATAAAGCAAAATTGCTAAATTTTTTTTCAAATATTAATCACTAAAAACTCTTATAGTAGACGCTTGTAATGAATACGTATATTCATTCGAACAGAACGTTTTAAAAGAAGCAGGCACATGAACGACGCCACATAGACAATAGAATAGGTAGCCAGATGTTATATTCAAGGCCATACGGGTGGAGGGGATTTTCGAAGGGACTGACGGTCCTTCAAGTATTTACATAAAAGAGACACAAACAGGTATTTTTACTTGCTTAAGTACCTGAATGTGTATATACGTGGCTAATGTGTGCATATTACATAGAACGTAACTTTTACAATTGCGATATCTCAGTAACGGTAACATTTACAGAATAATTATAAGGACCATTTTTGTAGAGAATTTTAAGATCTACAACAAGTATTTGTTTGATAAAACTCACGGTTTTCGAGAAAAACTCAAAAAACCTGAAATTTTGACCTTT